AAAAAATCAATCAATAAACACACACACATACTTACCATATATTTTAAATTATTAGCTAAATTAGTTTGTGCACGCCAATAACGAGCCCATATTATAGATAGTGTCGTGATAGCAGAAGCAGTTGCAGTTATAGACCATGCTAAAACTAAATCATAATTATTTGAATCAAATAACCAAGCTAGCGGACTAATTACACTTAAACAACATAAAGCTGTACTTGTACTTAATAAAATCAATAAACGTGCATTATCACTCAATGGAATGGTACGTAAATTCGGTAAAAGATATAATAAATTATCAGCGAATGTTGCATTACGTACAATACCAGTAACTGGTACATTCTGTAAAAGAAAGAAAAGAAAAGAAAAAAAAATTGAGAATAAAGAATATAAAACAAAATCAACTGTTTTTTTTTTGAAAAAAAAAACAATGCAATAAACAAAATTGAGTTTATCTGTGGTGCGCGCTACTTATAAGTAGTATATGACGTGAGTTTCAACGTAATGTCTGGCAGCAGAATATGGGGGACGATCAAGAAAGGAAGAGTGGGAACACAATGGGATTTGTATGAAACACATGTATAGTGACAATGGATTGATGTTTGGCAACAGGAACAGTCCAGTTCGATATGATGAACTGTTATTTTGCAAATGAACGATTTACGATATGGTTTTCCTATTTTACTGAGTAACTCTAACAATTCGGTTGCCCCACCTGTGTTCTCTTTCACTACACTACTACTACCACTACCAATGTGGTGCGCACTACTTATAAGTAGTATATGACGCGAGTGTAAACATAATGTCTGGCAGCTGAAGATGGAGGAAGATCAAGAAAGGAAGAGCGGGAACACAAAAATGGGATTTGTATGAAACGCATGCACAGTGAAATTTTAGACAATTGATTGATGTTTTGCAACAGGAACAGTCCAGTTCGATATGATGGATTGATATTTTGCAAATTAACGATTTACGATATGGTTTTTCTATTTTACCAATGAACTCTGTAATTTGAGATAAATATAATTCGGTTGCCCTCACCTGTGTTCTCCTTCACTACACTACTACTACTTGCGACATGGCTTATATAAGTAGTAGTATGCAGAGGAGTGTGGCCTTAGAAGTTACTATCGAAGAGAGACGAGTACCGGATTCAAATGTATGGTGTGATTAAAGTGGATTATTTTTTCAAAAAACATTGAAAGACATGTGAAAGAGGAGAGCCGAAAATACGCTTGTTTTTCGCATATGAGACACATTTTGCTGGTACAATTGTGTTCTCAATTTAACAAATCCTACCGTTTTAATATCGACTGATGATTAATGAGAGTGATGTAATTTCATGTTTTTATTTGCATATTTTCGTACTATTTGTTTTTCCGTAAATTCCAATCTTAATTTTTGCTATTTTACACAGAAATATCTTCACAACATATGTGATTAGATTTATTTAAGATGTGCTGAGTTAGTATAAATATATATATCTATATATTTAAGCAGACATACAATAGATATCGACCTGTAAAAGCAAAGTCATATGGAGAAGACAAATGGTGAGCCAACTGAATGTGATGAATCATCATGACTAAATATATTTTTACAGTTACACAAACTAGACAAGATATTGTAATAAGCCAAGTAAGCACAACAGACACACACACACACACATACAAAAGCAAAAACAATCAACATTATAAGCGAATGCTTGACAAGATCGAAAGACATGTGAATAACTCGAGAAGAATGCATTAATATATTAATCAAAACTAAGTAACCATATAGTAGATTTGTATTTTATGCTGTGAATGATAACTGACGACTGCATGTTGCCTATGATCCTTACACCTTCATAATACAATCCCTTGCAATAATGAAAGCTATATATTTTCAAGAGTTAATAAGTAGTCACTGCAAAACTTGAATGTTCTAAGTTCGGGCAAATTTATAATTGAGTAAGTTGGGGACGTTAGATTCGCAGAGCTCACTTGAAAAAAGTCCTCATTTCGTTTTTTCATGCTTCCCACTCATGGGCTGATCAGTTGACCTTGAGATTACATTTCCCACCAGCAAAATCCCTGACTATCATTGGTTGGTGTGTTATTTTAGTGCGCTATTTTCGTTTCTCTTGCAACGAGGTTTCTATCATGTATGAATAAAACCGATTTATGTGCTTGTTGACCTCAGTTTTCTGGGTGCTTGTAGAATACACTTTCTACGCCATATCAAGACTTCTCCTTCTACATAGTGTGGCCTTGGGACGCTTGGATTAGAGTAGCCTATCGTGTCAGAGGATCATTTGTCTTCTCTCTCGTTTACTGACAAAGGTGAACTCATAATAGCATTCAAGCATATTGATTGAAGAGCATAACAGAGTATTAAAAATTTTTTAAGTAATTTCTTAGTCGCAACTATTACTTCTTGTTGCAACAATCGAATTTCAATGTATTGTTTTCTAAAACAGAAGAATTTCTAAATATATGATCATAGGTGTCTTCGAAGCATTGCTCGTATATCCTGAGACACCCGAGTAAGCAACGCTGTTATTAGGAATCGGGTTCTAGGAAGGAATAGCAGATCAATAGATGAAGTAATGAAACTTCATCAATTGAGGTGGCTGGGACATGTGTTGCGTATGCCCAACCACCGACTGCCTCGACGAGCTTTGTTTTGTAGTGTAGGAATAGGTTGGAAGAAAGCTATGGGGCGGCCAAACCAAAACATGGCAGAAATCCATGAAGTCATTGACGACTACCTGGCTGGGGTCCGCGAGATGATAATAATCGATGGTTAGAGATCTTGAATGACATGGCTCAAAATCGTTCGCAATGGCGCCGGTGCATTTATTCTTTATGTTCTCTCAAATCCTAATCTTCTGGATTCTTCGACACCCCTAGTTTTGTTTGACTTTCTAAACTGTTCTCATTGAATCATACTTCTTGAATAATATCTTCTCATCCTAACCTCTTCGATTACTTCTAATACCGTTACTATCTCTTCTACTATTGGATTTGAATTGACAATTACATCTCTGTTTGCTGATGTGGTATGACAACATGAACTGATGTACTTACGTATGAAGTTCTACGTTGCATCTGACTGACTGACTAAATATATGAATAATACTGTAAACGCTTATAAATCAATAAAAATAAGACAATATTCCAACAAGAAGATTGAATAGGAATACAAACAACTGAAGCCATGTTTTTTTTTGTTTTTTGTACTTACTTCAAACAATTTCAAATCTAAATTATGACTATTTTTACGTCGTACACACATTAATACTTGATTGAAATAAAATTTACTAGTAAATGAATCCATTGATTCATAACCGTGTATATTTGGTGAATAACTACGTTTTATTGATCGTTCCAATGTATTATATAATTTACAAATCTTCAGGAATAATTTTTTCATTGTGCCTTGTTTACTTTCATGATAATGATTCCGATTGAGTACAGTGGAACAAGCTGGTAGAACATTCAAGTTGGGATGAAATCCACGAATCCAAAAACGTAATACATCATAATCGTTTGGATCAACATAGGCCTAAATTTATTGATTGAGAAAAACAAGAACAACAACAGCAGATAAATTAGGTCCGTTAGATTAATGGTCAAATAATGAGTGGAAGGAGAATGGTAAGACTAAAAAGAACTCAAGGTCTAAGGGCGAAGTCGTACTGTTGACTGTAGAGCGAGCGATGTGACAACAGTAAGGTGTAACCCTCGGACAATCAACATTTACAGCGATGCCGCTTTCTCACAAGGAAGGATGGGGGTTAGAAAAGGTTGACCTTAAAAATGTCACACCTCAAATTACGTCGCAGATTTCTGTCTCCGACGGTAAGGCCACTTGAATAGCGGAGCTAACACTTTACAGACTGGCATTAAGCAGTTATCCCCTAGGCTCTGCGATCACGCTCCCAGGTTTCTAAGGACAACGCTAAACCGATTTCCTTTCCAGATTCATCAAGAAACACCCTTTCACGGTGTAGACAGCCGAGAAGGGACATCCACAATCATACCCGTAACAGCACACGAGACCAAATTGATGTCTATAAAATCATTCTTACATCTCCTAACATCCCTCTTACCTCCACGACCATCCTTCTCAGGCTCCTTTAACACGCTGTGCCGCTAATACAAACGATTCGAGCTCATGAAACCCTGTCTTGGACTACATGTCTCGACATTGTGCCAAATAAGACAAAAAGCTTCCTAAGCGACGACTCTGGAATTTCGTGCCATCAATATATGCTGCAGCCCCAAAACGCGCGTAAAGGATCCAAGTAGAGTCATTTATTTGACCTTACAATGTCAGAATAAAGAACTAACTCGATTTACTCTTCGTGTATCTGGAAGCCCTGTTGTTGCTTTCCGTGGCCTCGCTCGTAAAGGTATAGCATTGAGTTCTAGGTCAGAATAAGCTCTCTTACACTGGATTCCAGTAGACAGTCGCCTGTGCGCTATCCTACTGCACATGACGGTAAGAACTCATCAACACAGAAACACTTGCAGTCGCCTATTTGTCGTCTCTGCCTACGCACCCACTGACTGTGGCTCAGATGAGGTAAACGATTAGTATTACACAAAGCTTTCTGTCCTTCTTCAAACATTTAGGTGCTCCGATATAGTCATAGTGGTTGGTAACTTTAATACTCAAATAGGTAGACTCAGTGAAAAGGATAGACACCTGGGTGGATCTCATGGTGTCGCAGCTGAAATATCAGATAATGAAAACCGTCTGCTGCCTCTACGCGCAGATAACAACCTATTTCTACCAAATACTAACTTTAAGCATAAGGAAAAACATCTTTTAACGTAGCAACCCTCAAAGTCGTCACAACTCTCAACGCAACTAGATCACATCACTATCACTCACCGGTGGAGAGGCTCCATCAAAGACTGTCACTCGCTCTCGATCACATGTTTACATTCAAATCACACGTATTCGTTTGTGACTTACTGGACACACGAAATACACCTCAAGGAAACCTCTTAAGGTTCTACATAATGATAGCGTAACTAAGAATATATTTCAGAAGCAACTAGTAAAACAGTTAGGCGGCATCGTCAGTGATTCCCTCCTAAAAGCAGCTTGAAACGTATCCAGAAAGCTGTAGAAACATCAGTAATATCTGCTAGTAAGGTAAACCATTAATTTAGGGAGAATCCGTGGATCACAGTAGCATTTACTGAACTGATAAACTCTAGAAAACTCACCCTGTCTGGCTACGAAAATGACGAAGAGCAAAGTCAGCTTAGGCTCAGGCTGACAAAAAAAACATACACAATGATCGCGAACAGTGGTGGGTAGCGAAAGCAAAAGCGATGTAAAAGGAAGCGTTAAAAGATACCAATACACAATTGATTCGACTTGTAAAGGAAACTGGTACTAGGAATCCAACTATTAGCCATACTATCTCGATCAGGATGGGAATATTATTCATTCTCAATATAGGAGATTGGATTGATGGGTAGAACACTTAAGGGATCAAGTCAACTGTCCTTCAGCCACATTTCGGTTACCTTTGATTCCAGTCAACCTGAATGGCAAATCGATGTAAGTCCTCCAAATCTTAATGAAGTTGAAAATGCTATAGGAAATCTAAGGCGAGGGATAGCAGGAGAGCCTGACAGGCTTACCCCTGAGATTTTCAGGGATGGTCGTCCGGTTTTAGCAGTTAGTTTGACTGAGATCTCAAGTAAAATTTAGGAAATGGATGTAATCGCATCCGACTGGTCTCAATCACTGACTGTCCCAGTCTATATGGAAGAATAAAGTACTCTTGTGACAATCACAGAGAAATCAGCCTAACTTATATAGAGATGTAAGAGAGATATCCGTCTACAAATCAAAGGACGAGTCTACTGAGCATCAGTTCGCTCCGTCCTATTATATGGGTGCAAGACATGGCCAGTAAGAGTAGAGGATATTCATAGGTTACAGGTTTTCGACCATAGGTGTCTCCAAAGCATCGATCGTACATCCTGGACCCACCGAGTAAGCAATGCTGGTGTTCGGAGAAGAGTACTAGGTAAGGATGGCAGATCAATAAATGAAGTAGTCAAGCTTCGTTAGTTGAGGTGGTTGGGATCTGTGTTATGAATACCCAACCACCCACTGCTTCGACGAGCCATGTTTTATGCTGTGGGGGGTGGGCTGGAAGAAAGCTAGGGGTGACCAGACCAAAACATGGCACAAATACATGAAGTCATCGACAAGTGGACTGAGCCATGTTAATAGTTGTAGACTACCTGATTGGGGTCCGCGAGACAATCGTAATCGATGGTTAGAGACTTTGGATGACAGGGCTCGTAGTTGTTTTTTGGTGCATATGCATCCATTTTTTGTCGTTTCTCAAATTTTAATCCTATGAATTCCTCATGACCGCTTTTATTCCCATGTTGAAGTTATTTCGCTGGATTGTACTTCTCAAATGATATCTTCGATCTCGAATCCTTTTGATTATCGCTAATACTTCTACCTGCAGTAACTATAGGATTCGAACTGACAATTGCATCTCTGTGCTAATGTGGTGTAGCAAAATTGAACTGATGTTGTTCAGTTTGCATGTGATGGACAAGTGAGGTATACAATACCTCTCTAAGGTGGAACTCTTTATAACTTGCTTTTATACCACAAAAGTTTCAGCTAACAACGATTACAAGTATATTACAGGACGCTAAGAATGTTAAAGTTAAGTTGTCGAATATTATTACGTTTAAAATGTAGAATATTTCAGATAACTCAGTAACAACAAAGAATATTTGAAAATATTATTTAACATATATCCGAGGGTTGTTTCTGATAAGATGTATAGAGAAAATCGAAGATTACAAGTGAACTGAGTCATGTTGGTAGGTGTAGGCTACCTGGTTGGGGTCCGCGAGACGAAAGTCACCAATGGTTAGAGACCTTGAATGACATGGCTCAGAATCGTTTGCAATGGCGCAGGTACATCCACTCTTTGTGTTCTCTCTAATTCTAACCTTCTGAATTCCTCATAATCTCTATCTTTCTCCTTCTAAATTTATCTCACTGAATAACACTGCTCGAATCATATCTTCGCTCCCTAATCTTCTCCATTACTGCTAATACTTCTACTATCACTATCACTCTTGGATTTGAAATGACAGTTACGTCTCTGTGCTGATATGGTATGGCAACCTGAATTGATGTACTTACGTACGAAGTTCTGTGTTGCATCTGTTTGTCTGTCTACAAATTCCAGGGAGGGATACAATATTGAGTCTGTGTAGCTTCGGCCTACCGTAGAATTATGGGATAGCTGGTTCAGTAAATTTCATTCTCAATTGATCTTGTTTTAATAGGTGCGTGGCTTTGATACACTTGTTTAAAGTCCTTTGAAATTTGGTTGGATTTGTATCCGTTGGTTTATATAAACTTTTGTCCTCAAGTAGTTCATCAGCTTTTGCCGGCATTTCCTTTTTTTGTCCACAATTACTGTTGTACGTCCTTTGTCCTCTAGAACTATGACAATATTTTCTTTAAGGCTTTTCAGAATTGTTCTGTTAGTTGAATGTTGTCTCTACTGTTGGAGGCTAAAGTTTCTTTATGGGTGATTAGACCGAAACTATTGAAATTCAAATCAAGGTCATTTCGCGCCTGTTTTTTGTTGTTGTTTAAATATATATCTTTTTTTTTAATTTATCCAACTGAATTGTACTGAATATAAATATGAAGAAATTGAAATTAAAATCAGTAGGTTCGTTGTTTCATTGATAGGTAATATTTGCATTGACTACAGAAAACAAAATGCTGGCACATCAGTTGACTATCGAAAAAAAAGGAACATAATCAATTAATTGATGACAAGAAGAATAGTTCAAGTATGAAATACTTAATTATACTGTGGTGCGCGCTACTTATTAGTAGTATATAACGCGAGTGAAAACGTAATGTCTGGCAGCAGAAGATGGGGGGAAGATCAAGAGGAAGGAAGAGTGGGAACACAATGGATGAAACGCATGAACAGTGGTGAAATATCAGACAATGGATTGAAGATTTGCAAATTAACCGTTTACGATATGGTTTTCCTATTATTTTACTAAGTAACAACTCTGTAATTTTCGTTAAATACAATTCGATTGCCCTCACCTATGTTCTCCTTCACTACAATACAAGTAAACAAGTCAGAAAAAACAACAACAACAACTCACCACTAAACCATGATGTTTTGATTTGATTGAATGACATGCATTTTGTAATTGTTGTTGAGGTACTTCAATGAAACCAGCTATAGGAGCAATATCGGTTAATCGACGAAGAAGCCAGAATTCTTTGTCAAGTTCATCGGAATTATTAGTTGTATCAATCGATGATGGTGATGATGATGAATTGATTTGTTCTAAATGATTTAAAGCATCAATAGGATGTGATAGAATCTTTTTAGATGAACAAACAGAAAAGAGAGAGAGAGGGAGAAAAAAGAAAGAAGGAATTATTTCTATTGTTATTAGACGAAATATAATAATAGTAATAAAAATGATAGTAATAGTGTGGTGCGAGCTACTTATAAGTAGTATATGACGTGAGTGTCAACGTAATGTCTGCCAGCAGAAGATGGGGGAAGATCAAGAAAGGAAGAGTGGGAACACAAAAATGGGATTTGTATGAAACGCATGAATAGTGACAATGGATTGATGTTGTTTGCAACAGGAACAGTCCAGTTCGATATGATGAACTGTTATTTTGCAAATTAACGATTTACGATATGGTTTTCCGATTTTACTGAGTAACTCTGTAATTTTCGTTAAATACAATTCGGTTGCCCCACTTGTGTTTTCGTTCACTACAATAGTAGTATAATAGAAGTAATTATTCTTGATGGTAAACTATTTAGGATTGTGTTTTTCAAGCAGGATGTGAACAGAATAAAAAATAGATGTGACACTGTGTTAGGTATGCTTGAAACTATTATGGGTTCACCTTAGTCGATACACGCGAACGAGACCAATGAACCAGTGTCCAGGTAGGCTACCTTGATTGGAAACGGCTAAAGAGAAGTCTTGGTATAGCGTAGAAAGTATATTCTACAAACACCCAAATCTCGCTTATTTACACATCATAGAAACGTCTTTGGGACAGTCACAAAAATAGCACACTAAAATAACACAGTAACCAATCACAGCCAAGGATTTTCCTGATGGGGAATTCGATCCCAAGGTCAACTGGTCAGCCCATGCTCGCGAACGTGAAATTTAAAAATAAGGCATTTATCAAGCGAGTTCTGGGGATCTAAGGTCCTCAATACACTGAATTCGCTTAGCTAAATGGGTGCTTATTAATGTGGTAGACAGATACATGATACTTTTGGTTATCAAAACAGCTGATGAGTTAAGTGATTTTAGTGGAACGTGAGTGGTTATCACTTCGAAGTTACCGGCTTTGTGGAAACATACTTCTATTTGAGAATGAGATTGGATTATTATTGGCTTTTGATCGCAAATACTCCAGTATATATGAGGATAGAGTCCACCATATCCCTTAAAATGCTTTCGTCTAATCACACGCATGCAACCACCACCAGGGAAGTCATGTTCAATGACTTCTCGAAGTAGGGTCGGTATTTACGAAATTGAAAGGTTAGTAGGTACTGAGGATTCGCCTAAGGAAGTTAGAACACCCCGATTACTCCTACACCACAAAACATAGCTCGTCGAGGCAGTCGGTGGTTAGGCATTCGTAACACATGTCCCAACTAACTCAACTGATGAAGTTTCATCTATTGATCTGCCATCCTTACCTAGCACCTGTTTCCTACCGACAGCATTGCTTACTCGGTTGTCCAATGGTATACGAGCAATGCTTCTTAAACATCTATGGTCGAATACTAGTAACCTACGAACATCTTCTACTTTTAACGGCCATGTTTCGCATCCATATAGGAGAACGGAGCGAACTGCTGCGCAGTACACCCGTCCTTTGGTCAGCGAACGGATATCTCGCCTACGCCATAAGCGACGCAGGTTGGCAAAAGCCAATCGAGCTTTCTGTATCCGTGCTGAGATTTCGTCAGTCACCAGGCTATCAGCACTGATGAGATTTTAAAGATAAGAAGAGCGGTCTAGACGCTCGACTACTTCACTCCCTATCACTAGTTCAAGTGCCGATGCAACCCAATCTTGAAGCAACATTTTGCATTTCGAGGGCGAAAACCGCATCACGAACATGCTCGCATTGTTGCTTAAGGTGGTCAGAAGACTCTGTATTTTGTCAGCGTGTTCATCGAATAGAACTATGTCATCGGCATATTCTAGGTCAATAAGCGATCCTCCTCGTAGACGGCCCACCCCTGAAAAATCTGATGTTAACTCTAAAAGGATGTGTACAACAAAGTTAGACAAGAATGGAGAAAGTGGACATCCCTGACGGACACCACTTGATGTAGAGAATTCAGATGACAGTTCGCCATAAGCTCTCACTCGACCAGTGGTGTTCGAGTAGAGTGCTTGTATAAGGTTAATGACAGACACTGCCACAGAACCTCACGATCCAGAGTCGAATGCCGCTTTTAGGTCCAGAAACACGACTATTGTCGGACGTCTAAATGCGTGTCTTTGTTCCAGGACCTGTCGTAGTGTGAAGATGTGGTCTATACAACCACGTCCAGGTCGAAAACCAGACTGGTTTTCTCGAGTCTGCTCTTCACGAGCTCTAGTTAGACGTCTAAGTATAATCGAGGCTAACAATTTAGAAACTATATTAGTTAGACTGAATCCTCTGTGATTGTCACAAGAGGAATTTAGTCCTTTCTTGTAGATTGGGACAATTAGCGACTGGGATCAGTCAGATGGGATTACATCCAGTTCCCTGATTCTACCTAGGATCTTGGTCAGTCTAACTGTTGAAACTGGACCACCAACCTTAAACATCTCAGGGGTAAGCCTATCAGGACCTGCTGCTCTACCTCCCTTTAGATTTCCTATAGCTTTCTCAACTTCATGTAGACTGGGAGGACCTAAATAGATTAGCCATTCAGGATGACTGGGGATCGTGAACAACCGAAGTGTGGCTGAAGAACAGTTGAACTGGTCCCTAAAGTGTTCTGCCATCGGTCCAATCTCCTGGATTGAGAATGGATAATAAGACCATCCTTTTCCGAGATAGTCTCACTCACATTCAGGTTCCTAATACCGGTTTCTTTGATAAGGCGGAAAGGTTGTCAAGTTTTGCCTATCGCCGCTGCCTTTTCCATCGCTTTTGTTTTCGCCACCCACCACTGTTTGCGGTCGTTACGTAGGCTTTTTATAAGTCTGCGCCTAAGCTGACTACGCTCTTCATCATGTTCAGAGTCAGGTGGGATGCGTTTTCGAGCATCCATCAGTTCGGTGGATGTGACTGAAATCCACTGCTTCATCCTAGTATTGTGGTTTACCTTGCTAGCAGATACCATTGCTGTTTCCACACCCTTCTTGATATGATTCCAACCTGCTTCAGGATGGGAATCACTTGCATGGCCGCCTAACTGTTTTTCTAGTTCCTCCTGAAATATTTTCTTAGCTTGATTATCATCAAGTAAAGTCCTAAGAGGCTTCCTTACGGTGTCTTTCCTACGTCCAGCAAGCCTCAAACAAATACGTGCTCGCACTAGGGCATGATCTGAATCTAAACATGTGCCCCAGAACGAGCGACAGTCTTCTATCGAACCCCTCCATCGGTGGCTGATGGCGATATGATATAGTCGTGTCCAACGTTGAGACGATTTCGGGGGTCGCCAGGTCAAAAGATGTTTTTCCTTATGCTTAAAATTAGTGCTTGCTAGAAATAGTTGGTTATCTGAGCACAGTTGCAACAGACGGTCACCACTGTCTGTTCTCTGAACCGCGACACCATAACATCCACTTAGGTGTCTTTCATTTTCACTCAGTCTACCTACTTGAGCATTAAAGTCACCAGCCATTAATACTATATCAGAGCGCCTAGCTTTTTGGAGGAGTTCCGAAAGCTTTCTGTAAAACTCATCTTTCACCTCGTCTGAACTGCAGTCAGTGGGGGCATAGGCAGATACGATGAAGAGGCAACGGCGAGTGTCCCTATCTTTCCGAGTCCTTACTGTCCCGTTCAGTCGGACGGCGCACAAGCGACTATCTACAGGGATCCAGTCAAGGAGAGATTGTTCTGCCCTACGACTCAATGCTATACCTACACCGGCGAGGCCCCTAGAAGCAGCATCAGGGCTACCGGATACACCAAGCGTAAATCGAGCTGCTTCTTTATCTTGACACATGGTGAGGTCAAATGAGTGATGCTACTGGGATCCTGTATGCGCGTTTCCGAGACGCAGCACACTTCGATGGCACGAGATTCTAAAGTCCTAGCTAATGATGCCTGTTGCCCTATTTGACACAATGTCCGTACATTAAATGCTCCAACATGTAGTCTAGAACGGGGTTTCAGGAGACCAGAAATGACGTTCCGTGAACTCGCGTCGTTTGCATTAGCTGTGCACTGGGATAAAGGAATGTGAGAAGAGTTAGTCGTGGAGATAAGAGAGGTACTAGGTGTTAGTGGGACATAGATGGAATTAAAGCACGACTACGTTGCTGCGCGCTGATTGGCTAATTTCCTATCCAATCAGCGCCTGATCGAAGCTTGGAGAAAAGGATAGAAAATTCTCGTATTATTAGCTGCATGCTGATTGGTTAAATCTAATCCAGCCGATCACGTGAATTTTCTTCCAGAAGCTTTCTCATGTAAAGGCTATAAATAGACTAGCATTGTACTTATCTTTGCCTTGGCTTTCGCCATCACCTCCAGCTTCTTATTCCTTGCTATTTTGGAATACAATCCTTCCTGTTCAACCGTGTTTTGATTTGGGTTACTTGTCCAGTGTTTTGTGTCAAGAATACTAAGCAATAAGATTTAGCCAGGAAATATCTTAAGCAATCGTTAAAACACTAGGGGATGTAGGTCTCGTGTGCTGTTACAGGTATGAAGGCGGTTGTCACTTTCCGGCTGCCCACAATGTGGAAAGTTGTTTCTTGAGGAACCTGAAAGGAAGGTGGACTAGCGTCGGTCTGAACGACCTGGGAGCGTGACCGCAGAGCCCAAGGGACAACTGCATGAGGCCGGTCACGAACGGCCTTTTTATGAGAAGTTTTTTGAGTGTTAGCTCCGCTTTTGAAAGCCCTTAGTGGGTACCCTTACCGACGGAGACGGAGATCCGTGAGGTAGGGTGAGGTGTGACATTTTTAGGGTCGACCTTTTCTAGCCCTTCCTTCCTTGTGAGAAGGCAGCATCGCTGCAGATACTGGTTGTCCGAGGGGAACACGTTACTGCTGTCACACCCCTCTACAGTCAGCAGTACGACTTCGCCCTTCAGACCTTGGGTAGCTGCTTTTAGTCTCATCACTCTCCAATCGACCTGCCTGGCATGGTAGAACCTTCAGGAGCATAAGTTCCAGCCAATATAGCTCGGTTAGGTCATCACGATAGGCAAGCCCGACCACCACATCAAGGTAACAGCTTTGGTCGGGTCAGTTACAGCGTAGAACTTCTTACGTACGTACATCAGTTTAAATTGCCAAGCCACAATAACACAAAGAGATTGAACAGTCAATTAAAATCCCATAATGGTAGAGGTAGTAGAAGTCATGGCGGTAATCAAAAAGATTAGTGATCGAAGATATTATTCAAGAAGTATATCCCAGAACAATCAGTTCACACTCGGTCATGTCCTGGAACATAAACACACGTTCAAACTTCTCATAATAATTGTATTTCTCGACCTTATGGAGGCACTTGACTTTGTTGATCGTGAGGCTCTAAATCAGTGTCTGCCATCGACAGGAGTACCAAAGAAGTACATTAACCCTGTACAGGCTCTCTTCTCGAACACTACTGGTCGAGTCAAAGCTTATGGCGAACTATAATCTAAATTGATTACTTCAAGTGGTGTTCATCGGGGCTGTCTACCTTCTGCATCCTTATCCAGCTTCGACATTGACATGCTTTTAGATATAACCCTTTCATCATCGCAGTTTTTAGGAATTAACCTTCTGCTAGGAGATTCGCTTGTCGACTTAGAATATGCCGATGATATAGTTCTCTTTCGTGAAGACGCTCACGAAATGAAGATTCCTCTGACCACCTTAAGAAACAATGCAAGCATGTTCCGGATGAGATTCCTCCGACCCTCCGAAATGCAAAACGCTGCTTCTAGATTAGCTGGCATCGGCACCTGGACTAGTGATAGCGAGTGACATGTCATCACGATAGGCAAGTTCGAACACCACGTCAAAGTAACGGCTACGTTCGCGACAATTCCAATTCTACGAATATAATATTTTGTTGTGGTTTTGCGATTCACGACTTATTTACACGAACTGATATGAATTAACAGATTTGTTTATGTCACTTACGATGTAAATACTACTGAGTGGTTTCCTAAACGATTTAGACAATTAACGTGATAAGGGGCAGATAAATGTCGTATCTCAGTCATTAACGATAGGCACTAACAGCACTCAGTTAGTCAGTCAGTTACAACGTAGAACTTCGTACGTAAGTACATCAGTTTAGGTTGCCATACCACATTAGCACAGGGACGCAATTGTCAATTCAAATCCCATAGTGGCAGAGATAGTAGAAGTAGTAGCAGTAATGAAGATTAGGATGAAGATTAAGATATTATTCAAGAAGTATAATTTAATGAAATGAGTTTAGAAAGACTAGGTAGAGGTGTTGACGAATCCAAAAGATTAGGATTTGAGAGAACATAAAGAGTGGATGCACCTGCGCCATTGCAAACGATTTTGAGTCATGTCGTTCAAGGTCTCTAACCATCGGTGACTTTCGTCTCGCGGACCCCAACCAGGTAGCTTACATCTACCAACATGACTTAGTCCACTTGTCAGTGACTGCATGGATTTCTGCCTACCTACACCACAAAACATTGCCCGTCGAGGCATACCTATCACATGTCCCAACCACCTGGATTGATGAAGTTTCACTACTTCATCTACTGACTTGCCGTCCCTACCTAGAACTCGTTTCCTAACGACAGCATCGCTTACACGGTTGTCCCAGGATACACGAGCAATGCTTCGGAGACACCGATGTTCGAAAATCAGTAACCTACGAAAGTCCTCTACTCTTAACGGCCAAGTCTCGCATCCGTACAGTAGGACAGAGCGAACTGCTGCACAGTACATTCGACCTTTGGTTAGCAAACGCATATCTTGCCTACGCCATAAATGACGAAGGTTAGAAAAAGCCAATCGAGCACTCTATATCCGTGCTGAGATTTCGTCAGTCACTAGGCCATCAGCGCTGATGAAACTCCCGAGATAAGTGAAGCGGTCTAAACGCTCGACTACTTCACTCCCTATCACTAGTTCAGGTGCCGATGCAACCCAATCTTGAAGCAACATTTTGCATTTCGAGGGGGAAAACCGCATCACGAACATGCTTGCATTGTTGCTTAGGGAAGTCAGAAGACTGTATTTTGTCAGCGTCTTCATCAAATAGAACTATGTCATCAGCACATTCTGGGTCAATAAGCGATCCTCCTCGTAGACGGCCCACCCCTGAAAAATCTGATGTTAACTCTAAAAGGATGTGTACAACAAAGTTAGACAAGAATGGAGAAAGTGGACATCCCTGACGGACACCACTTGAAGTAGAGAATTCGGATGACAGTTCGCCATAAGCTTTCACTCCACCAGTGGTGTTCGAGTAGAGAGCTTGTATAAGGTTAATGTACTTCTTTGATACACCTTTGATGACAGACACTGCCACAGAACTAACAGCACTAGGCCTTACGACAACTTAAAGTTAAAAGCCAGAACACTGATACATTATTAGACTACTGTTTAGCTACGAGCGAGTTTCAAAAAACTAGAAGTCAGTTGTGATTACAGCAAAATAAACAATGATGCTTATTTCTTATTATAAAGTTGTGAAGAGTTTTATTAAAATCATGAATCGAGCAGTGTTAGACTACTATTAGAAACCTGAAGGCACTAGGAGGCCATCAAGTCCTAGTAAAGGGCTCATCAGCAGTGCACATTAACGACCCCTGGATTATTTGAGGTTAGACAGCAACACCAATGGGTGCTGGTTCAGTGGTCTAGAGGTTAGACGGAGATGCGAGAAACAAATAGTCCTGCATTAGACTCCAACGTGCGACGGTTGTGGATGCGCACTGCTGATGAGTTTCATACTAAGACTTGATGGCCACTCAGTGCTTCCAGGTTTCTGATGGTGTTCTAACACTGGTCGATTCACGGTCTCATTGATGCTTATTGTTTTGATTTAGGATAGATAAATGTACGCAGATTGTGAATTCCTTTTCGAAAAACGATAGTTTGAGTGGCACATATGCTTAGGTGCCCCATTTCACTAATGTCTATGTGCTATAATAAAATGGATTTTTAAAAAGTATGGAAGGTTGTTATGCTGCAATACAAGTAGTGACTGCGGAAATCAAATGATTGAACTCAACCCAGTAGAAAATAAGACTTATTTCTGGTGTTTAAAGCCTTAAACAGGCTAATACAGTTATAAACTACTTTTTTATACTCGAAATTTCATTCGGCGAATTCGAAGGTTACTACTATGTAGTTCTAGGGAACCAAGACTGAGAGCCTAAGACAGAGTATTGGTCTAAACGAGTAGGATTCAGAGAGTCAAGCAGTACAAAGACAAACAAATCCAGTGATATCTTAGATAACTTCGTTATTATAGTTAAGATTTCAAACAAACTAATGTAAGTACGCAGCTAACAAACTGAATAAAAAGATACCAACTGGTTTGGATTAAAAATTTAAAAGTAGATACAACCTACCGAAAATTCATTTTGTAAGTTCTGAAACTGGCTCTCTAGCTTTTTGTCAAGAAAAATGGCTATTTTTTCGAAGCTTTTTCTTTCGGATGGTAACACTGTACTACTGTCCTGTAGTAACTCTCGAACAAGCGTCCTGCGGGTAAGTGGTATATATGCATTTCTGTAAGGGAGGTCTTTTTATTCGAAAAGTAAAGTACTTTAATGCAAATTTTGTAGTTGCAGGGGGGTTTCGAATCGAGTCTAGAGGATTGACTACCTTTGCCTTACTAAATACGTTGAGAATTGTATTTCTTAGAGAAAGTTTTGCAACTGAAGGCGCAATTTTGCCTTTTATGAGGGAATACGAGGTTCTTAATAAGTCTTTCATTGGCCATTTACATGTGAGATTGTAACGTATCCATCAAAACCCGCGGTAAACTAGGCAAATATCATTGGTTTCATCTCTCGAGCAGACGAATGTAAAGATATGGGGATCGGTGCTAGTCTGAACTGATAAGCAACTGAGATAATGGTTTATGAACTAAATACAGTAGAAGGTCCCAATAATATGATCAATCTTTGAAATAGAAAACATATTTATTATCCAACTTGCTTTGTTGAACTGTTAGCAAGATAGTTTGCTCATTACAGTCGCTGTTAAGACTGAATTCCGTTGATTTTAATCAAATTTCCTGGGATTTTATGATGTTATGGGTCATTTTAAAATTGATTCTGAATCCAAGTGAGATAATTCAAGCGTTTACAATAAAGACCTTGAACTGATTCTTTAGCTCATAATTGAAAACATCTCAATGTATTTTTGGAATCTTAACTGGATAATTGAATGAGTGGTTTTGATACTGTCGATGTGACCAGATAAAATTTAGTGGCTAAGTAAAAGGTCTTATTATTGCTTTGTCTAAAACAGCTTGTAGATCACGAACGTCGTTTATTTGCCGATGAATGATGTCTTATCGAGACGTATAAGAGTGGCGTGACTTTGTAGGATTTAAGTTTCAGCACTTATCTGTGCCGTCAAAATAATAGAGCTGTTCCACATTTGTAGACTTGCAATGAATACCAGACCAGTATGACCTTACGTAGAAACTGCATAATCGTCAGCACTGATTTATCCTATCATGAAAGTCAGCTGTATGCTAAATGGCAAGTTTAGGGTCGGGATATCTTGATACTGTGGCTACTATGGTGACTATAAGGCGCAAACATGAAGCAATTAAAGAGATGTACTTGTTGGAATAAGTTGAACAAACAAAGTACGACCACCGTCGCGTAGGCCAGTCTATAGAGTGTCGTAGGGTGATGCGCGTCGGTTATTCTTGATCTTGTTGAGGATTGGTAAAATAACTAACAGTAAGTGGCCTGCCTGTGGTCTAGAGTTCAAATACACTTTACTGGCCTAAAATGCCCTTCAGAATTACCGGTACATTGCTATTTTAAAATATTCCCTGCATCAGTAAATGTACAGACTTATGGAAGAGAGAAAGAGTGTTAATTCCAAGCTAAACAGATTTGTGATAGTTGGTCAGGAGGCTCGTGCTCTCGCTCAAATAAAATCCTGACCAAAGTCATCTGCTAATGAACAGCTGTACTTACATTTGTAAGTTTAAATATCTGTCAGAATCATCACCACTCTGATCAAACAGATAATTGTCCAACGAAATCAGATAATCACATCGGTCCTTTTGAGTTCCTACGAATGCCATGTGGATTACGGAATGCTGCTCAAACTTTCCAAAGGTTTATCGATAGCATAGTACGAGACTTCGATTTTGTTCACTTCTATATTGATGATCTGTTAATGGCATCATCAGACGTAGATGAACATCATCGACATCTGATGCTCTTATTCCAAAGCCTTTCGGATAACGGAAAAATAGTTAACCCAGACTAGTGTACACTGGGCAAGGCAGAAATAATGTTCTTGGGTCACATCACTTGGCATGAGGGTATTCTGCTTTGTGAAGTCAAAGTACGTACATTTATGGAGTACACTGTATTTTCTGGTTAACTTCTACCGGCGATTTATTCCTCAAGCGTAGAACAGTTACGATCATAAACCGACTTACTTCGCGGTAATCCACGTAAATCAGAATTGAACGATGCCGCGTGTACTGCATTTTCTGAGATTAAAAAGCTTTAGCTCAAGCCACACTCCCTGCCCATCCTGACCCATCAGCCACGCTTGTATAGCGGTTGATGCATCAGATTTCGCTATGGGAGCCGTTGTGCAACAAAACATCTCTAGGAGTTGGCAACCTCTCGAATTTTTCTCACGACGCCTTACTCCCAAGGAGACGAGATATAGCGCTTTTGGTCGCGAACTGTTAGCAGCCTTTTGTGCCATCAAACATTCCCGGCACTCAGTAGAAGGTCGTAATTTCATCCTTTTCACCGATCATGAACCTCTAACGTATGTTTTGCATACCAAGTCTCACCACAAGAGTCCAGACATTTGGATTATATACTAAGTTCACGACAGACCTTCGCCATATTAAAGGCGAGTAGAACTATGTTACTGAAGCTCTCCCACGTATTCAAGTAAATGCAGTTACTCTACCAGTGCTCGATCTTCCTGCTATGGCCGCTGCCCAAGCAAATGATCCTTCTTGTATAAAGCGCTACAATCGACATCCCTTCAGTGCCAGGAAGTACCACTAGCTACCACCTCAGGTACTATCCTGTGTGACAATTCTACTGGTTTACCCCGACCTATCGTGCTTTCTGCTCATCGTCGTCTCGTATTCGATGCTCTTCATGGTTTGTCTCATCCAGGCTTCGCAGCCATCTTACGTATCTTCGCTTCACGATACGTCTGGCCTTGCATGAATAGAGATATCCGTATGTGGGTAAAGCAATGCTTACGATGTCAACGATCAAAAGTGCACAGGCACGTAGCCCCACCCATCGGCATATTTTCTACGCCTGATGCTCGCTTCGATCATTTTCATATTGATATTGTAGGACCATTGCCACCGTCGCACGGGTATGATCACATATTCACGTGCATCAGTACCAGAACGAGTTTAAAGGCAGATCTTCAATGTTACGTCACCTAATTGGCAGACATCACGTCTGCCTGGGGAATTTTTCATACCACGGAGCAGTGATAACTTCAATCAATCAAAATACGTCCTACGATTGTCTGAATTTATGCGAGCGCTGCCTCCGGTGTCAACTCGAGTACAACACCGACAGGTTACTCTCCCTTGAGAGTTATCTAACTGTTCTCACATTTTCATACGAGTCGATTTGGTACGCAAACCTTTGCAGCAGCCTTACGAAGGACCTATTCACGTTATTTCCCGTCATGAAAAGATATTCGGGGTTGCTCGACATGGTTGCGTCGAGGTACTCAGCATTGACCGTCCCAAGCAAGCACACGCCGATGACAGTGCCCTATTTGCTAATCGGATAATCAATGCTAGAACTATCAAACCTACCAGCGGGATCCTAAAGCTACTTCGGGTCCCACTCTAGAAAAATCAGAGAGCTCATTCTCACATCCCAGTCTGTATTTGGATTTTCTACCGTGGCAGTTCAATTCGATTCCAATAGACGTATGTCGGACGCACTTCCCCAAATTTGAATATAAAAACACAATAATTCTAGGGGAAAATGGTCTAATAATAGATAATAAATGGAAATACAAACAATACCTAACAAATTTTACGCCTTCCAATTCAAAATTACTCTGAATGAGTATCGAGGTTCCGAAGTCTAAGTGAACTCCTATACTGCACGATATCAATTCCAAAAATGTGGCGGTAGCCATATTATATCAAATTTAAACAACATATGTACAGTTCAGAAGCAAACATAAAAACTTCAATATAAGTACAAAATATAGAAATAATAACAATATACAATGATAAATCTGAAATTGGAATCAAATAAAATACCAAAAATGTCAACAGAAAAAGTCCGTCATGTCATAACAAAAATATGTAAACATGGAGGGATTTTCCAAAAAACAAAACATTCAAAAAGGATTCTACACCGGCCCGCAAAATCCCTCCATGCAAAAAAGCAACCGTTAATGACACTTCTATTTAGGGTTCCCACTCATCCCCTAATCCACACCGGAATAACGTGTAGGACTTACAGCAGTACGCCTACCCGCCATCCAACATGGATATGACCTATCAAGCTAACTAGGTACCTATACCTTCCCATCAGGCCCTTGATTCCCCTATCTATCGTAGCATGACCTAACGGTAGTATAAACCTTACCCAATTAACCCACACGAACATGTACAACACGTCGTAAAACTGGTCATATCCTATCCGGGAACTACATTCCCTATCATGGGGACGAGTCGCCAATCCACCACCACTTGCTCCGATCAGCAGATAAAATGAAGTCCGTGATGCTGACTTATCAACAGAAATTCTTGACCCATAGATAATATGCAAGGGTGGGATCTCCAATTTTGACATTTCATCGTCTCCCGAAGACTTTAAGTAGCATGACGTGGGATCAATATTTATCTCTCCATCTCCTGATACAGAGGAGGTTTGATCAGCATTCGTCATCGTCGGTAACTCATTTGTCACATCAGTGACATCCAGATTATTATCAACGTCATCATGATTCCGTTCTGTCAGACAAGTCGCGTCGATTCGGTCTGCACTAGCATCCGTAGAGTGGAACACTTCCATTTTTGTATAACTCATATCACTACATGAAAGAACAGCATTAGTATCGCGATTCGAAACTGATATACTCACTTGTTGTTCTTCATGTTCCGTTTCAGAGACACAAGACATATGCTCATCAATAGCATCGTTATCATGCAACACTGTAGATTGGTTGTTACCATCAGACGCTTCCTTCTTATCATCACTTGACTGACAGTCAACCGAAATAGGGACACTTACAGTTACACAACCTTGTGTATCCTCAATCAACTTAACATTCGTGACGAGATCCAATGACGTCGAAACACTAGAAGGCTCATTCGATGAAGTTGATCGACTAGTCACAATAAGTGGACTGCTGACACTTTCTATCTCCTTATTATCGCTGTCACTACTAAGATTCTGATGGCTTCTATTTCTATTGCTAGTCATAGCATCCGAAAGAGAATGAGGTTTAGGCTTCTTAATAATAGTAGCATCATGTTGTTTCCTAGGCTTCTTAGCCTTTACTGTACCGCCATCACTTATCCTAGAATCTACTCTAGGTCCCGTTATATGATTTACCCTAAATGAAGGGTTCCGAAAATAGGCTTTATTCCGTCCAGACAATCCTGCCTGGGCCTTATTCATATTTACTGAATTCATTAACCTCTGATTACTCGAATCCAAATAACCGTTCCAGGCTTTTCGAGCAGCTAAGAGGCTTTTATCATCACACACTTCGGATCCATCTTGATGCCTACACTTTTCACCCTTTTCTTTCTTTTCTATACTTAGAAAAGCCATCTTA